ACAGTCTTGTATGGTCCTCGAGAGATCTGTCCCCCTGCTCCAGCAGGAGGAAGAGGAATTTGGGGCGAAGGAGGGGATCCATAGAAACAACGTGAACAAAAGAAAACACTGAGGAAAAAACAGAAACAAAAACGTAGGGAACACACGGAGGTAACTGTACTTGGTCAGGTCTTCTGTCACAATTCACTGGGAGGAACGAGGAGACGCGGTGAATTCACAATACAAGAGTCTTTAATCATCAAATAGGGAGACACAGAGCACAGGGATGACGTTCACAAGGAGTAGATAACGAGTAGACCTGACAAACACAAACTGAACAGACTAGGACTTAAGGCTACGTCCACATGTAGCCAGAGCTTTCCCTATCCGATCTTTTTTTTTCCTTCGTCTCAAGAAATAAACCACAAAACCAACACAAAACGATGTAGTATACATGCCAGACCAGTATGTGGTGCTGTAATTCTGCCACAGAGATACACTAAAAATGGAGAAGAAGACTTGGACTATGCACATAAACCTTGCACGCGGTATACAAACGAACATGGAACAATACATTTATTAATCTGTGTTAATGTTAGCTAATAAAAAGACAATCGTTCAGTGTTTGTTCATGTTTTTGTTGCTGTTACGTGACGTAGCGGTGTCTGACTAGGGGCGAGATGTGGGCTGATGATGTCATCGTTTCAGAAAATATATGGTTTCGCTGTCCACACGAAAACGCAAGGGTGGCGTTTTCAGAGTTATCCACTCTGGGACCCGGTTTTAAAAAATATCGGTTTAACTCTCCCAAAACGCCGGATCCGTGTGGACGAAACGCCTATACAATACAAAATTTATGCGTATACAGATAAATGCGTCTCCGTGTGGACGGGGCCTAAGTACACAGGGAAATTAGGATAATTAACTAAACACAGCTGGAAACAAATGATGAACTAATCAGGGAACCTAATGGAAACAGGAAGGACCAAATAAGGAAACACAGGACCAGAAACAGGGGCAAAACACGACACAGAACAGTCCAGAATCCTGACAGTTTCAAAAATCAGGCCTTCGTCGGAGAACATATTACATGTTACTGTTGACTGCCAGTTTCACATTAATAGCCAAACATCTGAAAAATTGCCAGATGTGAAATAAGCAAATTACTGTGCACTTTACAATCGCACATTTTAAAGTGAATATAAAAACACCATGAAACAGTCAAGTGTAAAGAGAGTATTACCAAAGAGAATAATACATAAAACACTTATTTAAAATATGTCATTCTACCACTGTGCACTATTTGTTCACAAAGCCAAGAAAATATGTTTCATTGTTTAATCCCAGTAAATGACTTCTGCAGGTGTACAATATTGTTCAAAAGTTTGGGGTCAGCAAGATTTTTTAAATGATTTCAAAGAAATCTCTTATGCTCACCAAGGCCGCATTTATTTGCTCAAAAACACATTAAAACAGCTATATTGTGAAATATTTGTACAATTAAAAAAATATATTTTTTATTTTAATATATTGTAAAATGTCATTTTTCCTGCAATGGCAAAGTAATTGCTAATGAAAAAAAAATTGAATTAGCAATTACTCCAGTCTTGACTGTCTCATGATCTGTCAGAAATCATTCTAATATGATGATTTGCTACTCAAAATTTTTTTAATTATTATTATTAACAGTTGTGGTGGTTAATATTTTGGTTGAAACCATAACATATATTTTTGGGGGAAACTTCATAGGAATAGCATTTATTAGAAATCTTTTATAAGATAATAAACATTTTTACTGTCACTTTTGGTCAATTCAGTGCATCTTGCTGAATACTGAGCTTCTTTTGAATGGCAGTATATGTGTATTAAGCTTAGGCTAATCATTTATCTCAATTACTTTTTATGAAAATTAATCATCAGCCTTGAATCATCATCAAGATAGCCTTCATTTCCATTCGTACCTCTGCCTCGTCAAAGGTCAGAAGCAGGTCTGAAGTGCCTGAGAGGATGCCCCGCGATCCATCGATGAGATAATCACGGGCCGGGACAGAGTACGGGTCTGTCCTCAGCATCCGAGCTGCTTCCACCAGCTTTGCACTGGCATTCTCCACCCTGAGAAACAAAAACAAAAAAATCACAACTGATATGAATATCCTAAAAAAATATATAAGTCATACTGTATAAATCTATAATGGCTTGCCTTGCACTATTAAAAATGCTCAATACTAAATAAATGCAATATTCAGTGAAAAAAGAAAAACTACGCATTTGACTCAAATAGGAGGTGACATTACTAATTTATTTAATTGCAATTAAATCAATGGCCCACTAAATCACAAATCAAGATAATTTAAACACTCAATTCCCAGAAATGAGAGCAGTAAACAACTCCAAAGCTTTCCAGCAAGCAGTGTAAAATCTTCTCTCAGACTCAATAACACTATATTAATAGAAATTAAAGCACGTCCCAGTCGCCCCGCAGCCCACGGGAGAGCGGGATGATGACGTGTTCTGGAGGAGGCCTCTCTTTATCGTTATTCTGCGGTGGAGACCCAGACTTACGCAGGCACCTCCCTGAGGCACCACCCGGGTGTCAGTGCTTACTACACAGCCTATATATAGAGAAGTTCACATTTCCTGTCACCAACCACATGTGTGCTGATTGATGAGCCCTGTGCCAGCTTGTGTTTATGGTGCCAAATGTGTCAGCTAAGACTTTTACTGTCTTTAATTGAGCCCATCTGCCCAGCCATTTCAAATAGATACAGATACCCACACTTTATCATTCGCCAAGCCTGATCAAGTCTAATCGCTTTGTAAGGTAATAGCAAGCATACCTTTCCTTGATACGCAGCACTACTTGAGTTATTATCATATCTGCACCATAATTGGTACAGAAACAAGTTAAAACCTAACCTAACTAATTAACTATGAGCAATAAAACTAGTGAATCATGTCTTAGCAAACACCACTAATAACGGTAAACATTTATTCTAAATGTAGCCTCCATCTGTTTCTCCAACTAAATTTGAACTTGCTTAGTATGAATGACCATATCACAGTTTGTAATTCTGGTTTGTCATGTATTTCACATTTGTACAATCTTCTGAAAAATGATTCCCCTCAGGAGCTCGATTAGTGAGTCAGGAGAAGCTGTGCAGGGTCCATATGGACCTTCTTACACCACTACATGTGCATGAGGTCTTACAAATCTATATACATACATCTATATAAAGTATATTATATACAAAAAATAATTTAATTTAATAATTGGTTATACTTTACGTAAATCCTGTATAATGCATTATAAAGGGTTATTAAAGGGTATAATGCATTATAATTATTCAGAATGTGTGTTGTAATACATTATATCTTGCTATAATTAATTTAAAATACATAGTGTAACAATGAATTGATAAGTGTTATAATGTATTAACAATGGTTACAATTATTCATGAGACTGTACAATGCATTATAAGGTGCATTACAAGGCATAATTAATGCATTAAAATGAATCATATAATACATTATTCATAAAGGCTTTAAGTAAAGTGTAACCTAATAATTTACATTTTTTAATGAGAAATCTCTCTCTCGTTCACTCTCTTTATGTATGTATTAAATTTTTGTATTTCATAAAACATAATGAATGATTTTAATTATATACTATTAAAAATAATTTAATATAAAAAATAATGTTTCATTTTTATTTTATGCAATTTAAATATACAGGTGCATCTCAATAAATTAGAATGTCGTGGAAAAGTTCATTTATTTCAGTAATTCAACTCGTGTATTAAATAAATTAAATGCACACAGACTGAAGTAGTTTAAGTCTTTGGTTCTTTTAATTGTGATGATTTTGGCTCACATTTAACAAAAACCCACCAATTCACAACAAATTAGAATACTTCATAAGACCAATAAAAAAAACGAGTTTCACAACTTTTCCACGACATTCTAATTTATTGAGATGCACCTGTACATTAGAATATATCATTACATATAATATAAAATCATGATATATAAAATAGTGTTTTGATCCAGTTTTCTCCTCTTCTCTCCATCATTTCTTGCCATCTCTCCACTTCCAAAAAAATATTATTATACATTTATATTCTATTTTTTTCTATAATTTATGTTTTAGATTTTTATGTTTTATGCAATTGTATAGATATTACACATAAATACATTTAATATATAATATATAAAATAATGTCTTGACCCAGTTACCTCCTCTTCTCTCATTGCTAGCCATCTCCCCACTTTCCTTGTAAAAAAAGCATTTAAAACAAAAAAAATGCTGTTTTCTTTACTTTTTACCCTTTAAGATTTGAGGAACAAAGGAACATGCTCCTCTTTGTGTTCTCTGTGACTTTCTGACTTAGAGCATCTGAGAAAATGAGGAAAAAGATGGTGAAAGACACACAAACAGACAGTTTGCATCAATATTAAACAGATTCAATACTAACTGCTCCATCTGCAGCCAAGACACCACTTCACACAGCCGGGGAGACACTAGGGAGAGCAGTCATATAGTTTTCGCGTAGACTTATCAATAATGCATCGTAAGCTCAGTGGAAAACGCCTCCCAAGCTTCAGCAGTGAGGGGATGACTCAGCCCCTCAGCAAGCAATCGCACCAAAGGAATATGTCCTGCAAGACCTTATTTAACCTCCATCACACTGTACATTATTTCAAGCTTTCTTCAAGGTCAGTACATCAAAGACCTCAAACTCTGACATCAGGCTTTACAGGTATCTAAAATCGGGAAGAGCAAAAAGCTTTAGATGTTTAGACAATCCTGTATAATGCATCATCACTTTAAACTTCTCTTGACAAAGTAAAGGCACATGTTTGTTAATCCAGTGCAATGAGCGTGTATGTGTTCAGCGTGATTAGAACTGATGTATGTTCACATGACGGGTGCCTGGAGAGAGACACGAAGACAGGTCTTACTTAATGAAGGCTGGAGGCATGTCTCTCTTCATAATCTTGTCTTCTGTGGTCTGTACCGTCTCTTTCCCCACCTGAGAACACATGTAAAACAAGCTTGTTTACAAGATGCATAATGAGATCATTAAATACATTTCTATTTTCCTGAAACCAACCCCTACTCAAAAAGGTTATACACACTCATAGGGAAAAGCTTCAGCCCTTAGGCAGACCAGATTGACACAGCTTGAGAATGGGGTCACTCTGAGTGTCTGGACACAATAAGGGCCTGTGTGTCTTGGATGAGCCCTGAGGCTGATCTACCACTCGCTGTCTGGGATGCTGCCAATATTTCCAACTGTCCAATCTGAAACAACCCATGCTGCTCATCTGCCATTGCCACACCCAGTTATTGATTATTTCCAGAATGAAAAGGAAGATGCAATCAACACATCTACAATCATGTAAAAAATTAAATGAATAATTAAAAAATTGAAAAACAAAAACAAAAAACAAAACAAAACAAAATGAGAAACAAAACAAAAAACAAAGCTAAACTAATTGAAAAACAAAACAAACAAAAAAAACTAAAACCAAAACAAAAAAGAAAACTAAACAAAACAAAACAAAAACAAAGCTAAACTAAATTAAATGAAAACAAGAAAAAAATAAAGTAAATGAAAAACAAAACAAAAACAAAGCTAAACTAAATTAAATGAAAACAAGAAAAAAATTAAGTAAATGAAAAACAAAACAAAAAAATAAACTAAAAAGTCAAACCAAACCAAAAAAAAAAAAATCTAATCTAATGATCTAATTAGATTTAATGAATCTAATGATAATAATTCTAGAAAAACCTGTACTGGAATTGCATTGATTTTATAATTTTGCTATGATTTTTATTTAATGTTATCAATGTTATACCATGTTATTAAACTCTTTTCAGATTCAATGATGTATTTATTTAATCTATTTCCACAAATCAGTTCAAACTGTCAGTCTCATTGATTCAAAACCCGTCTCTGAGTCATTGATTTATTTGCATCACACAGAAATAGATATTTTTTTAGCTATAATCGCCTAACCCTATCAACCATTAATCTAAATATTTTCAGTGTCTATGCAAAAAAGTGCCCCTAATTCTTTCTTACATAACAGCAAAACCATTGTTTGATTTTTAAACCATAATCCTGAGATGACAAGATATCAGACCACACACACACGCTCCCATCCACGTGGTCTATTTGCCCTTTCACTGGACATCAGGAATGACATTAGTGTCCTTATTTAGAGTCCACTAATGCAGAGATAGCAGCGTAACAGAGATGTTTGTTATCTCCACACGGCCACTTCCCGCCTGCTCTTTTTTCCAATGATGTAATTACACCGAGGCAGTCACATTCATTTTTCTATCCTCCATCTCTGAATCATATTTGAAGAAGATTTTTCAGCTCCCATTAAGCTTTTCATGAGTTGACATTTGAAAAAATACATAGAGAGAGCTTTTATTTGATTGGATGGGTGAAAATAGCAGGGAATAACAATGAGATGAGAAACAGGTCAAACAGACGCAAGTAGTAAATAGAGTGCATTGATTCACAGCAGATGACCTGCTAAGGACCATTGATCGCATTGGAATGCGCAAAGCATGCAGTTGTATATGGAGGATGGTGCTTTTGTAGTGCAGTGCGCACTTTTACAGAGTCCTAATTGGGTGAAGGGGACTCATAAATAAGGCTAACTGGGTTAACTGCTGGGCTAAAGTGGGAACAGAGATCACATATGCACACACAGCAGCCAGTCACAAACATCAGTCCTGTGCACGCTGTGATGAATGCTGTGTGTGCATATGTGATCTCTGTTCCCAGTGCAGTGCCTGTTTGGTAGATGTATTCAACAGAATGAAAATCTTTCATTGCAGTTCTGGTTAAACATGATGTACCCTTCCAAAAAACATCCAACAGGCAAAATGTCATGTGGTCAGGGGGTTGAACACTTGCATTTATTATTTTCACTGTATCTGAGGCTTATTAGCGTCTATTGGCACCTGATATACTAAAACTCTCTTTTCAGTGGGGCCTCCACCTCACGCTTCTCTTGAGATACTGGACCTGCAACCACATTCCACACAGTTATTCTTAGCTCAGTGTCCTGGTCTATAAGGCCATCTGAGGGGCAAGAAGTAATGGTGGTAAATAAGAGCCCACTAACAACTTAGTCAGGGGTTTACAAGCACCTAAAAGCAACCAAAATGACAAGGGCACAAAATATGTATTTAGAACAATTAAGTATCCTATTGCTTCCTTATCTAAACTCAGATAAGGGAAATGGATTCTTAATTAAACAGTATGTTCACTGATTTTCAACCAGGTTTTTATTGTTACATGTAGTACAAATAAATGTACAATGTGTATTTTTTTGTTATCTGCACAAAGATATTCCAGTTTATTTGTCAGTAAATAAATGGTTTTACATCATCTGATCATCATCTTTTGACAGGGCCTTTGTGAAAACTAGACTGTACTTCCACATTTTTGTATCCTCACTCATGGATAGTCTGATCGAGCCCAGTGCATTATGGGTGTTGAAGTTTTCCTGCCTTTTTTCTGTCATTTTTGTCACATGCCTGTCATTTTTCTCAGTTCTCTCGTCGTGTAGCGCTGATTTGACATTTTATTGTTAAAAATGTCTAATAATTATAAGATACCTTGTCCATAGGGTGAAAAATTATATTACATTTGATGGGGCGATATGATAAACATCATAATTAATAACATTTCCAGAAATCCCTGTGTGATACATCACATTTGATTTAAATTTATTTATTTATTTATTACCATTTATGTACATTAAGCCATTTTGTGTAACATTTAAATTATTATTACAAAAAATATTAAGTAAATGTTTATTGCATTTTTGAGTGATCTGAGTTATGCTAATGATACATAGAAGAACAATAATAACTATAAAGTTTTCTATATAACAACTATAAAAAAAGTCGATATATAACGATAAATTATACCTATAACGATAATGGCACAGAGGAGATATATCATAGGAACCATTTTCAGAGTGATTTTTTTCCATTTAGTGAATGCTGGGAAAGATGATAGCCAATCAAAATCCACTTTTTAAGCATGTACTGCAGTTATATTGACAGACCATAACTCCATAACAGCCGTTGATATGGACGCTAATATAGTCATCACTATAGTTATCATTATAGTTTTCATTCTTGTTGTGTACAGGCCTTTATCCTGATGGTTTTGTCTCTGTGTGGGTGACACTGTACACTGTCACTGTCTCAAATTTTGCTGCAGCATTCTATTTCACCAACAATAATTTTTTTTTTATTATTTTCAATTTACTTTTTCAATTCAATTTACAATTATTTTCTTTTAAAGCGTAGTGGCATGTGGTAGCAACAGGGCAGCACAAAATCCACCTGTTCAATAATGTGATTATAACAGGCGATGGCATGTTTATTTATGACACTGGCTTATAAAAACTGAGCTGATATTTGACATCTGACATGATTCTCATTCCTCTAAAGTTCACTTGTGTGTGAGGGTTGTACTGGACACATACCCACAGTGAGAATGTGACGGCACCTGCTAGAGGTCGACCGATATGGGTTTTTGGTATAAGATATGGGCCGATATTTAGAAATCAGGGCAGCCAATGGCCGATATATGATGCCGATTTTTCTGGCCGATATGTTTGGCCAATTTTCTTTTTTTTTGCCCCCTTCATCTCAAAAGTGAGTTTGAGTAAATGATTATTGCAGGGTACAAGATAGTAATAGTAGTAGTAGCCTAATTCAGAGTAATAATACATGGCTCAAAACTTAAGCACCTTCTCAAAACAGTTCTGAAGAATGCTTTTTGTTTATGTTTGCTGACAGACACCAGTGTTTCCCACAGACTTGCAAATGCAAATTCATTCTCTGCCAGCAGGAGGCGCTGTTGGAGTGGGAAATATAGCGATTTCCCCGGTAACAGCTGTAATCAAATAAGCACTGCGCTCACAAACGCTACTTTATCAGGCATTACAGGAAAGACGAAATGAAAATGACACCGAAGCTTTTCTGAAGACGGTCAGTTCTTTTCAAAGATACATTCATATAAAAACACCTGCGCTGCATTTTAATTTTGAAAAGTGCAGTGATCAGTTTAGGGATGGAACGATTACCGGTTTCACGGTAAATCACGATAAAATGCCCTGACGGTTAGTATTATAGTTTAAAATTTAATTATCATCAAAACCATATTTGATTATCGAGATTTTGAAAACTCGCGGTAAATCCTGTCCAGCCAGCATCAGTCTGACGCAGAAGCAG